AAAAAAAAAAAAATAGAAAAGCAAAAAGCAAATTTGATTACTACTACTTTTGTTACTTTTTTGCTTAATATTTTCCCACTTCCCTTAAGCAAAAATCCAAAAACTTTTAAAACAAATTTCTTCAATAATCTTGCCCTAGTATATTGCTTCAGTTTCATTTCTTGATCCTTTCTTAATCTGCTTTGTTCCAGATATACTAAATTTGTTTCTATGTCTTCAAAGTGAGGATCTCTCCGCCTTCACAAATACTGTCTGAAGCTTGTCCCTCTCTCCTTTACCTATGCTCTGCTATCTTCTATTCATAACCTTCCATTTACTCTGAAAACCTTTCCTGATAATAAACACCTCCTATGAATTCTTACAGCATTTAGTACTCCCCTAGTATTGCACTAATGGCATATTGTTAACTCTTAACGGCTGTCTTTCTCACTCGGTGAGGCTGAGACCATTTACCAAGCATGTGGTACAATACCTAGTGTAAGAGACATCCAATAAATATTTATGGAGTATGTGATATTCAAACTATCTTGTGTACACTAGGAAATCCCTGATTCACCAATGGTTTCTACACAGAAACCCTACAGACATTGTGAATGGACTTATTTTTTAGAAAATAAGTACGTTCAGAAGTGGTAGAAGAGAAGTAGCTGTGAAGATCGGGAGACCTAGTCCTGGGGGCAGATTTTAGGCCAAAATTGCATTTTACTGTGATTCACTAGTGGAAAAAGTGCAGGGGAAAAAACTGTGTTAAACCAAAACCGAGTTTCCTAGAGAAATTTCTCTATCAAGACAAGAGAGAAAAACTTCTTCCTTCATCTATATTGTTTTCTTATCCAGGACCAAGTATTGTGGTTTCATACTATAGCTCAGTTAACTCATATAATAAAATTAAAAATTTTTGGCAATCTTTGGACCATAAAACCATTTAAACATTGTTTCTGAGTTAAACTAGTTCTGTAGTAAAGTGTGGGTTTAAAGTCTTGATAAAAGTTGGAACAAATGAATAATTACCCCTTGCCTCTCGTTCCCCTTTGTCTATTTCAATCACAGAGTCACAGTTCAGGCCAGAGGTTTATATGTATATACCTTCAGTGGACAGAAAAACAGAATTAGAAAATTGTTTTTCATGGTCAAATGCATTCCCTGTCAACAACTGAAAAATCAGAAAGTTTCTATTTGCAATTTAGGGATTGCTTATATACAAGGGATGATAATGTAAGGATAAGACTTCCTTTTGAGAGCTTACTATGGTGTTAGAGACACTGCTAAGTGTTTCTAAACTTTCTTTGATCCTTATGACAACCCTATGGAAGTTGTCACAGATAAGGAAACCCAGGCTTAGGCTAGGTAACTTGCCCAAGGTCACAGCTAAGTGGCAGATAATTTGCCACATAGTATTCGTGTTGACCTTAGACAAGTTACTTTGCAGTGCCTCAGTTTCAGTTTTTGCTTGATTATGAAGAGATCGTGATGGGTTATCTCATTCATTCAGACAAGACCATGATTTAACTGAAATGCCCTATTTTAATTATCAGAATGGAGATTCACTTTAATTCAGTTAAAAATGTTCTCAATATTAGAAAATGTTAATGTCTAATTCAAATGACTTATAGCATAAATAAAGTCAAAGTATTTCTTTGTGTTCACTGGAATGGAGAATAGTTACCATTTACTCCATAACCACAAAATACCTCAATCTTACATTTTCTAGTAATTCCTCTCTTGTTTATTATTAAGTCTCCTGGTTTTTAGTTCAATGTGAAGCATTTCTATTCAAGACATCCCAGTTTCTTCTAGAAATATTCCCTTCTTAGTATGTATAATTTCAGCAAGAGTGATAAAAAAATTACTTTAAATAGGTAGTAGATGATGACTCCCCAGAGATGTATAAAACAATTTCTCAAGAATCTCTTACACCGGGAAAACTGGAAATTAATTTTGAAGAATTATTAAAACAAAAAATGGAAGAAGAAAAACGACGAACAGAGGAGGAACGGAAGCATAAACTAGAAATGGAGAAACAGGAGTTTGAACAGCTGAGACAAGAAATGGGAGAGGTAAGATTTTAGGAAATAGCTATCATCCGGGCACGGTGGCCCACACCTATAGTCCCAGCTACTCAGGAGGCTGAAGCATGAGGATCACCTGAACCCAGGAGTTCAAGGCTGCAGTGAGCCATGCACCACTCCAGCCTAGATGACAGAGCAAGACCCTGTCTCTAAAAAAACAACAAAAAATTATATCTATTTCTTAAGCTAAGTATTTTATTTATATTACCTTATAATAACCTTGTAATTATTATTCACATAAACGATACTCAGCATACTCCCGAGGTGCTTACTTGGTAAAGGCTTCTGCATAGTTATGTGTACTTTCTAGTGTACTATAACTCTCTACTCTTTCCTTGCTAGTTTAAAAAAAATATATAGGTTTGCAAGTGACTGTGATATTACTATAATTCCTTAAGTAAATATTTATTCCTATTTACTTCAGAATTATGTGAGTACACCATGATTGAGAACTGTTGTTCTAGAGTACTTAATATACCCATTTATACTGATTTTCCTTGAAACAAAGACTTAAACTGATAAATTTAATCAAAATAAGATAAAACCATTGGAGTATCACAGATGCTAATAGGCTCATTAGTTTGGCAAGTCTTTTTTTTTTTTTCCTTTTCTTTGAGACAGGGTCTCACTCTGTCACCCTGGGTAGAGTGCAGTGACGCATCACAGCTCACTGCAACCTCAAACTTCTGGGCTCAAGCAATCTTGCCTCAGCCTCCAGGACAGATGGGACTATAGGTGTGTGCCACGATGCCCGGGCATGGGCACCAGAGGAGAGGGGGAAAGAGGCGTGGGCAAGAGGCGTGGTGGCCCACGCCTGTAATCCTAGCACTCTGGGAGGCTGAGAGGTGGGAGGACTGCTTGAGGTCAGGAGTTCAAGACCAGCCTGAGCAAGTGAGACTCTGTCTCTACTAAAAATAGAAAAAAAAATTAGCCGGGCATGGTAGTCCACACCTGCAGTCCCAGCTACTCGGGAAGCTGAGGCAGGAAAATCACTTGAGCCCAGGAGTTTGAGGTTGGCGTGAGCTATAGTGACACCACTGCACTCTAACTGGGATGACAGAGCGAGACTCTGTCTCAAAAAAAAAAAAAAAAGGACCTGTCTTTACCCCTACCTTGGTGGGGGCCAGGCCACATACACTGAAAGGGTTAGGGTCCAGCACTCAGCCCGATGACTTGGGGCAAAGTAAGCAGCATCTTTCCCAGCCTCGGACTGGCAGTGCCACGGCATGTTTGGTAGGTAACTTGGTAACTCCTCTTACAAACTTCCAAGAACCCTGTGGATGGAGATCCCTACACATAGGCTGCAATCTCTTGGAAGTCGCCCGTTTGTCATGGTTGGGGCAGTGGGCCTGTGGGAAGGGGAGTTTTACTTCTCTGCCCTGGCTGTGGCTGGCAAATTATCTAGCTGGCCCAGAGAATATAAATGCCATATAAATATAAATATATAAATAAAATTCCATGAAAGTGCTGTAGGAAAACATTCCAAGGTCTAACCTCTTCCTGCCCCTAAAAAAATTTAGTAGCATTTTATATAGAAAGCTGAAAATGAATTGTCTATGAAAATTCACTTCTAAAGTATATTTTAGTATATTATCGAGATGTAATCTAGTTACTATAGGGCAGTATGCAACTGTCAAGACATTCTGATGCTATTAAATGACTCAACCTAATGTGCGGAGTTTTCAAGCCAAGTAGCAAGGCAATTCCAACATCACTACACTGTAGCTTATTAGTTCAATGGTTAATTTTGAACGGGATGATTTAGAAAACATTGTTGATATGTGTATCATAAATGTGTTAGTTTTGGTATTTTATGAGTGTTTTCAACCACACAGTCTGAAAAGTGGTAGTAGTACAAAGGAATAAGTTTTCTCTTTTACCCCTTGGTTAAGCCAAGAAATTAAGCCTCATGTCACATCACAGACTGTGACAACCCATAATCCCCCCTTTTTAAACCCTGCCTAGAACTCTAGGTCTTCTCTGGGAAAAGTATACTAGGAATAACTGCAATATTTTGCCATTCCACATAGTGAGATTAGGATTTAGTGTAGCAAAGTCCCTGACAAAGGACTAGTATTATTAATAATAAAAATGTGAAAAGTCAGGGAAAAGGAACCTGAATAAAAGAACAAGATTAAAATGGAACAAAGAACTGGAGCCCAATGTTGGTTGACTCCTTTTCTATCTTTCTCTATAGAATATATAATTGAGGATAAAAGTGATATGTAGAGAAATGTAGAGATTTTACCAGACCGTATCTTCAGAAATGCTTGTTAGCTTGAGTATTAATGTAGCTTTATAAGACTACCATAAAATCAAAAACAGAAGAAATTTTAGAGATATGCTGTCTTTATTTAGAGATGAAGAAAATCATACCCAGTGGGTTAAATAACTACACAAAAGACCACACGGTATCAGAGCCAGAACTAGAATTCATATCTGACTCCTAGTTCAGTGTTCTTTGCCTTCCCCTAACAAAGATCTTTCTACAATTCATAGTAAAAACTAATCTTGCCATGCATATTGTAGTTGTAGCAGGTTATCATGGTATGTTAGAGGACTTTAGCCATATTCCCTGATGAAAATATTTTAAATGGAATGTTTTCTGAAGCCCTAAATTTGTAGTAATACTTTTTTTTTGAGACAGAGTCTCGCTTCCACCCTGGGTAGAGTGCAGTGGCGTCATCATGGCTCACTGCAACCTCAAACTCCTGGGCTCAAGCCATCTTCCTGCCTCAGCCTCCGGAGTAGCTGGGACTAAAGGTGTGTGCCACCATGCCCGGCTAATTTTTTAAGTAGAGATGGGGGCGGGGGAACGGGATGTGTCTCCCTCTTGCTCAGGCTGGTCTCTAACTCCTGAGCTCAAGAGATCCTCCCACCTTGGTCTCCCAGAGTGCTAGGATTATAGGTGTGAGGCACCGTGCCTGGCCTTGTAGCAATACTTTTACTTAGTAAATTTGGACCTTGCATTTAGGGAAGAGATTATTTAAGCTTTATTTTTGGTTTCAAATGAGAAAAAATGCACACTTTTTGGACAGTTTATTATACAAACTAACTTGCTGATACTCAACATATAAAATCTAATTTTTTTGAAGGAAGAGGAAGAAAGTGAAACCTTTGGATTGAGCAGAGAATATGAAGAATTAATCAAATTAAAAAGGAGTGGCTCTATTCAGGCTAAAAATCTAAAAAGCAAGTTTGAAAAAATTGGACAGTTGTCTGAAAAAGAAATACAGAAAAAGATAGAGGAAGAACGAGCAAGAAGGAGAGCAATTGACCTTGAAATTAAAGAGCGAGAAGCAGAAAACTTTCATGAGGTATATTACTTTTATAATCAACATACTTATGGTACAGTAATGATAATGAATTTAATAGAAATAACATTGGCTTTGAAGTAACTTTTAATACTTACAATTAACCACTGGTGCATATAGTAATCTGGCAACTAATAGCACATCAAGATCTTAAGAGACTTTGACAGACTTCCACACTCCAGCATTGTTTCAAAACAACTATTATTAGTGTTAAAGCCTATAGTGAACATCAAATGGTTCACTGTAGCAAAATGGATCAAAAATATTAATTGGGATATGTTTTAGTTGAATTGGTGGAACCAGTGTATTTGAGTTAAACTCCAGAGATTATTCATACTAATTTTACAGATAAGGCTTATAAAAAAACAGGTTCAAAGGACTATAAGGCAAGCTTCACAGAAGAATAGGTGATAGGATATAAAGTTGTAAAAGTAGGTTGTGGATAGTTGAAGGGCCTTTTTAACTTTGCAGGGACTATGATCTGGGGAACAATGCTAATAACCATATTTGTAGGGCAGAGTAATAAAAACCTTACATTTATGAAATAATTCTGGGATCATGGAGGATGAGCTGGAAGATAGGCACAAAGGCATGCAGTTGGGGCCAAGGGAGAATAGACCTAACTTTAACAAAACTGGGTAACAGGCTGCTTTTTGGGCAGTTGGTTGGTGAGGGACCTAACATTACTTCAGGATTACCAGGGAAACTAGGTGATGCTACAGAGAAATCGTATCTGGAAAGGTGGGGTGAGTAAATTGTTTTGGACGTGTAAAGTTTGAGCTATATTTGATAAGGTAAAGACCTAAAACGGGTCTTGAGCTCAGAGAAGAGCTATAATTGCAACTTTTACAGATAGTAGCTGAAAGTATAGGAGTAAAAGTCACTCAGAAAGTTAATAGTTTGAAGGTGAATGATAAAACCCTAGAGAACACAAATATTTAGTGGACGGATGGCCATATCAGTTGAGATTTAGTGATGTAAATATGTCATAGAAAGTACAGTTCAGTCAGCATGCGCTTGCTTCCCTTTTTGGTTAAAGAGCAGTCATACCTATCCCTACAAGGTAGGTAAGAATAATGGAAATAAGGTAGGTAAGTGACCTCTTGTTTTATTGCTATTACTGGCTCTTTCGCATAAATGGATGTGAGATTAAAACATGGCTCAATGGTCAACATATCCTCCCACCTCACTCTCTTGAGTAGCCGGGACTACAGGTGTGAGCTACTGTGACCAGCACCAAATTTTTTATTTTCTAAATACAGGTTCAAGGCAGCTAAATGAAGTTATAAATATACATAAACTTATGCTAATATCCAGAAGGCAAGTTATTAATGGGAGGGACTCAGTCATAATAGCCGTTGTTGTACCTGCTGAAATATTCTATCTTGAACATTCATGTGGTAAATAGTATTAAGTGTATAGTGTGAAGAGGTCCTGTTTTTTATTTAAGTCTCAGAAAAATCTGTTGAGCTAAAAGTAATCAAATCATTGTTTAATATGTATTTCTTAGTCTTTCAGACATCAAATAAAAATCTCATTCAGAACCAGAAAAACCACTCAACTTTCTTTTACCCCCTTCTACTCCTTTCAATTGGAATCAAGGTGCAACTCAAGCTGATGTGAAAACACCCCTGAACCAAGATTTTTCTCACATAGGCAATTAACCTACAGCTTGTTTCAAAATTTCCCTTTAGTTGGATGTGGTACCTTGAAACAATTTCCCCACAGTATTATATATAAATGGTGAGATTTACAGAGAGCCACAAAAGCCAAAGTAGTTTAGAGACCAAGAGTGAACTAGAATGAAAGTACTTTAGAAACCATGATGGTATTAACCTCTATTAAAATTACTCTCACAGGCCATCAGTGACATCATTACCAAATTGGCTTTTTCCTAGACTCTATTTGATAGTTGACCTGCTGCTCTTAAATCACTCCCTTAATTATTTCCATGGCTTCCAACTCTCATCCCTAAATGGATGACTCACATATTTCACTTTAATGACTTCGTGTTCCAACCATTGCCTTTTTCAACAGTTGTCTTCACCTGTTTTTCTACCTATAAACACCCACCCCTGCATTTGACCATCAGTAAATTTGGATGGAATTCATCTCAAGGGTAAGGAAGGAAAATCATGAAGTGAAAAATAACAGAAAAAAAACATTTCTCATATTAAGTAGTAGGGTGAAGAGTAGTAAGGAGTCTGTTGTAAGAAAGGAGTATTTTAACAATTGTAAGAACATATAGTATTCTGACCTTTTTCTATTATTCAGTCTCAAAACCAAGCACTGAATTGGTTAGGTAAATAGGCTGGGATCCCAGCGATAGTGAGTTTATCTTTACATTGGTAGAAAAAGATTATAATTAGATGAATGCTTCTTAAATATACCGGTCACTTTTCCTGAATTGGGGAATAGTGAAAATCTGCATGTCTGCAGTGTAGCACAAATATGCATATCAAACATGTTTATTTTGTGCTTACAAATACTACTTTCGGAACTACTGATGCTTTAGTTCTTGGTTTTTAGAAAACAAACACTTGTTATTCTTGGCCCACTTTCTTGAAGGAAGAAGATGTTGATATCAAGCCTGCAAAAAAAAGTGAGGCCCCATTTACTCATAAAGTGAATATGAAAGCTAGATTTGAACAAATGGCTAAGGCAAGAGAAGAAGAAGAACAAAGAAGAATTGAAGAACAAAAGTTACTACGCATGCAATTTGAACAAAGAGAAATTGATGCAGCACTACAAAAGGTATCAGGCTGACATATTCTTTATTTTCCAAAGATGCTCTTAAAAACCATAGTTTTATGAGAAGGGTTAAAAAAATGTTTTAATAGCTTTCAAGTCACTGGAACGTTATTAAGTACACTTTTAGTAAGCATACTTACATGTTCTAACACTTTTACCTTCACAATTGTTACTAAACCACTGCCCTGAAAGTATTGTATTTGAAATACTAACCTGAATGCACATACTTTAATACAGAAAAGAGAAGAGGAGGAGGAAGAAGAGGGTAGCATAATGAATGGCTCCACTACTGAAGACGAAGAACAAACTAGATTAGGAGCTCCATGGTTCAAGAAGCCTCTTAAAAACACATCTGTTGTAGACAGTGAGCCAGTTAGATTTACTGTTAAAGTAACAGGAGAACCCAAACCAGAAGTGACATGGTGGTTTGAAGGAGAAATACTACAGGATGGAGAAGACTACCAATATATTGAAAGGGGAGAAACTTACTGCCTTTACTTACCAGAAACTTTCCCAGAAGATGGAGGAGAGTATATGTGTAAAGCAGTCAACAATAAAGGCTCTGCAGCTAGTACCTGTATTCTTACCATTGAAAGTAAGAACTGATCGCTCTTTTAATTTAACTTACGTACTATTAAATTTTTTTCCCTTTAAAAAAAAAAAAATCACCTTTCTTCTTCTCTTTTCTAGCTGATGACTACTAGTTTCCCTCTTCTCCCCTTGGAACTTTCTTTTTCTCCAACTTTCTTACTACATCCATCTTCTCTGTGGCGGGGCCAAAAAAGGAAACCAGAAGTGCCACTCTGTTGACTTCTTATTCCTTTTCATAAGTCTTCAAAACACAAGCTCATCTAAAGAATATGTTCTTTTCCAAATGAGCACCAGATTTATTGCCATCTTATACAGTAGCGGTCAAAAAAAATGTATTTAATGGGGGAGCGGGCAGTGCGAAATTTACTGAACTGTTCTATCAGAAGTTATTGTAAAGGCTGTGTATTTCCCGTAAGAATTTACAGCAACTATGTTTTTAAAAACCCAGTAAGTTATTTTGCATGAAAGAATGCCATTTATGAGCTTTTACACCTAAAATTAGTCTGAAATAGCTGAGACAATGAATTTGGAACCTATCAATGAGTGGGCATTTTCCTTAGTAGCACATTATTTTGGTTGTTGTAGTTCCAAAGTCTTTCTGAAGCAGATATATTGGGGGCGGGGTGGGGGCGGGGGGAGTGCCATGGAGAAAAACAAAAATTAAAGTAGGACTTTTAAGAAGCAATTGCCTGACAAAATTTGAAAATTTGACAGAACCCACTGCCTATACAGTGTTCTGAGTGTTGAGAATGTTAAACATGTATTTTTCAAATGTGTGTAATATATAATCAAATTTATAAAGCAAATTTATGTTGTGATCTTGCCTGAACAAATTATATTTTAATGAGAAAACTTTGTATTAACAGATCATACAGGAGAAAACACTTAATGTAATTGAAGGTTTCAAGATCTAAGCATACTAGACTTAATAATGGCACAACCTTCAATTTAAAAGTATAATCTTTAAAATGAGTTTGTAAATAATTAGCTACCATATTGTATTATCAAGTTGTTTTATATTTTAATTTTCTGGAAGACAATTTTATTTTACAATGTAAACCCATAATAAAGTAATTTCTGTATTTAAAAAAGTCTTTCTGTATTTTAAAGACTTGTGCAGATGTTTACCTCTTTATCATCCCAGTATTTTCTCACAGCAAACCTTTAATGAAAAAGTCAAGTAAAAAGTAGAAAATTATTTTTATTGAGTATTACATGTATAAAAGAAACAAAGCACTCTAATATTCACCAATGTACATTTATTTATTGAGGAAACCATAATGAATACAAAATTACAGCAATCATGTGCCCTTTTACATACAATGTCATTAAAGCAAACTCTAAACCACAGTTTGTAAAGTATTCAATTTACCTCAAGTCCAAGCTGCATCTCCCTAAGACACTGTTCCCATCACAGTAGCCATTTTAAGCCAATCTTCTTTTAACACACGGGTAGTTTCTGTAGAGAACATTTTTCTCAGGACGAAAATGCATCGAGCATGCATAAGAAAAAATATATATATATGCACAAACACATTTAAGAGTTTCTATAGGGGTATCACTGAAGGAAATAAAACCCTGGGATTCATTTGCTTCTTAAAAGCACCAATTTAAAAATCCCTTAGAAGTTTATATTGTGGCAAGAAAAATCAAGTCACTAACTAAACAAAAAATAAGGTTATTTTCAGAATCAAAATTATCTTTAGGTATTGTTAAAATGCATTTTAAAATGAGGCAGAATTTGTAGAAAATAAAAATAAGACATCCTCATTAATTAATAAACTCTATATCATTATTCTACACAACAGGTAACTTTCTAGGTACAACTGGTTCTACTGGCAGAGTATTCAAACAAACGAAATGTTACCACTTCTGAATTAGTCCTATTTCCCTCTGAAGGTACTCTGCTACTCCTACCCAAACCCACCCTTATGAATTAACTACCAAGTTATTTGTTTAAGGATATATTTTACAACGTTTATAAACAACTAGTATCAAATTACTAGTTTTAGTATTAAAACCATTTTCATTAATTAAAAAATAAAACTATATTTCTCATTTCTAAAAGAAACATCAAACCACAGAATTCTAAGCATCACCACACTAAGATGTCTTAAAGAAAAATAAAAATATATTGTCAAATTTAAGTGCTAAATAAAAATCAATCAGTTCAATTTCAATCTAAACATTGTTCTAAACTAATACCCACTGCATTCAAATCAACTGGCTCACCTTTTCTGCTTTCCATTTATTTCAAGGTTCTTTAAGATTAGTGCCATTTAAAATAACACTTATAGTACCAGTGAAGGCTTATGGTAATGAATAAAAAATTCTCATGAGATAGAAACAATGCCCCAATATCTATTAGCATTCATCTATATGTTCTTTTATAAAATGCAAACTACAACTAACCAAAACTTGATGGGCTCTTAATGTTCAAAGAGCCCCTTTATATTATCAATCTTACATACCTATCATTGACTATTAAAACATACATATACATAAATGTGGTGCAGTAACTATATAACTTAAGAAATTTAACAGTTCATGGAACATTTAAGATCAAGTGAATAGCACTTTAAAAGGAAAAGTGATCAAAAGCAGGTACATTACACCCTATACCATATTATGTATGGGAATACATTTCATATTTCTCAATTATGATTTGCCAATTTTACCTTCTACATTGAGCCCTTCTATGGTCCATGCTCATCGGCTCACCAATGGCATACACTCAAAGGATTCCTCTTTATGGGTAACTATCTCAGGACCTGATTTTATGAGCTATGATTTGGTGCTTGCAGCATCTTCAGCACTGTGTGTGAAAATGAAGGCAGTATTTTTGAATATTTTTCTTTGTTGTAGAGATAAGCAGGAGTTTTACAAGGATCAGCACATTTTAGAAATCGAATAAACAAAACTGATATGATGCTGCTTTAATACATTCATCTTAACTCAAAATATGTACCAGTTGAAATCTATAGAAACACACAAACATTTTAAACTGGCAAAAAATAAAATAAATGCAGTGTCAGTTATTAAAATATTATTAAATCAGAAAAATATTGGTTGCTACAGATTATGAAAGGTTATTTGCTATACAGTTAACATTTCACTGATGCACATGCCTTTTATCAAAACATACTGCCAGTATTCCTTATAATGTTTTCCTTTTTCAGCATATATAAAAGTAATGAGAACTGAATTATCTAAGAAAAAATCATAATAAAACTCTGACCCATATTGTCCCTACGGAATTACTATAGTTCAAGAATAAGAAAAAAATAAAGTCATAGCTTTGGAGGGCAAAGAAATGTCCTGTCAATCACATAAACAGATTGTGAAGGCTGTTGAAGTTTCTGAACAAGTGATTTTCTAAATTTTGAAAATTGTGTAATTGTCCTTTCTTAATTGTAACACTTCTGTATTTGGGGAAAAAATACAAAAATATTTGGTTGGATGTAGTTCACTTACAGTAGCAATCTACTCATTATTTAGAAAAAAAAAACAAAAACCAAAAAACAACTAAAGTAAAAAACATAACCCAGAAATGTAAACAGTTGCTTGAACAACTTACAGATTTTCCACTAAAATGGTAGCATAAATAACAAAATACATTTTGGGGAAGCAGTAGCAGATTGCTTTTGAATACACAACCACAAAAACCTCACAGGGACAACATTAATGTACTGAAATATTTATTTATATATGTCCTTAGGTTGTGCTTACCTGTTGCTTTTTGCAGCAGAACCTAAGGTGGAAGGTCTGGGAAGGCACTGTGAAGTATAAATAATTGCACTGTTTGCAATTAATAAAGATTTTAAACCTTAAATGAATCAAAATCAACAGCCTCCAATTTGTGAGTTATGATATTGAATTCAACTGAACTATTTCTTCAGTTTAATTAATAAATGCACCACTTCCTAAAAGATCATCTATAAAACAGTATCATGCAAAATACTGAAATTGTTCATGTCAATAACCTACACTCTTAAAGATAACAGATAACTAACTCCTTAACTATTAACCTTCAAACTAGAACTACATATCCAGATCTGAATAAGGGTAAGGGAAGTCACTCTAGGTTATATAAAACAATCAAAAACATTTCAAAATATCTACAATGTACTGTACTGCTATTTTCCATCCTGTAGGCAATGTCAACATTTATGTCCTTGTACATCTTCCTTTAAAGTATATTCAAAACGACAAATGGTGCTCTCCACCAATGACAGAATATATATCTATGAAATGGTGTTAAAACTGCTACGTTGCTTATTATTTGCAAACTGAAATCCACTTCTGTTTGATACATTTCAAGTCTTTCATATTAATATATAAGATGCATATTTTACACTGAAAAACAATATTTTAGGAGCACCAGTGAGTAATATTATTCAACTTTGTTAATGATCAGTTTTCTTTAGCTATAGCTAAAGCACATCAAAAATACTTACCCATTAAGCTCACTTAAAAAAAAAATACAAAACTATGTATTATTCTATGTTAAATTAAAAAGCAGTTATGGTTTTCCAAGATATCAGCACTGTATTCCAACATAATATTCAAACAAAGTATGGCATTTGCATTATGTGGAACATTGACAAAAAGATACTGTTGCAGTTCATCAATTTGTCATTCTGATGTACTTACAGTGCAATGCTCCTTGAAGGAACACAATCAAGGATGATACACAGCACAGTCCTCCTCACCCCTACAGAGCTAGTTCTATACTGGCTGGATCAAACCTGCACTTCAACAGACAATGGCAAGACAGACTGTATTTGCATGTAGTCTAATATATTAATATGCAAAGAGCCAACAAATATGCAAAGAGTAAAACAATGGATTTCAACAAAATATCAGAACTTCAGCATGAGTGTTAAAGAGTAATAAAATGATTTCAAGTACATAAAAAAATTAAGTTGATTCAATGACTGGACTTGTGCATTTACAAAACAAAGCTTATCTATACTGCAAAAAGAAAAAAAAAGCTTGAACGTTTCCATACCCCATTTATGTTTCAATGGCAGATGCAATGTAACTATACTTTTTGCATACTATTCACTTTTCTACCCTAAATTTAGAAAGAAACACACTAATATTATATACATTGAAAGAGTTGCTTTACATGGAAAAACACTGTTCTTATTAGGCTACTCATATTCACTATCTGAAAACTGTTTAAAATTAGTTATGCTGAAACAGTCTTGGAAATCAAGTAATTATGAAATTAAGAACAGAAAGGTTAACTGTTATAGCAGCAGTACAGGTCTGAAACAGTGGTCATGTATAAAAGGAAATTTCACTGTTAATGCAATGGAAGTATGCCAAAAGATCACTGTACACACATGCAGTTTTTAATCAAACAGAAGGAAAAAAAATGAAGATATCAGGATTACTTGTGCTGAAACAGCCAAATACAATAAATGGAAAAGATTCTCCAATCTATCACTATACTGCAAGGGGGAAAAAACACGCCAGTGTTTATTAAACTCAATATTTCATGGGGAAAGCTTATATATTTGTGTAATGTATCTTAATTTATCATTGCTAAGAAATTATGAATCCTTTAAATAGCCACATATCCAACTTACCGACACAGGAGGTTTCATATCATTTATTGTAAAGCACAAAACAGGCATTTTAAAAGTGAAAGTATACATTGAAAAAGTACATTTATATCACAAAGCATCGACCACATAATAGTTGCAAATACATTTGCTGGAATGTGTACATCTACACTAAATACTAAAAACAAACCAATTTTCATTTCTACACAGAAATATTAACCTCCTATCAGTAGTGATAGATATTTTGTACATTTTCAAAAAAAAAAAAAAACCAAAAAACACTATTTTAAACCAAAAACAAAATTAAGATCTTCATCAAGTCGTCTGCATCCATATATTTAACAAAGGTTTTTTTCCCCCACACAATGAAGCAAATACTGTATTGTCCACTTCTTATTATTGGCCCTGTGCAGAAGAGATACATAAGAAATACACAAAAAGTTAACGAAAATCCTTGAAATGGAGCTAATTCAGGAGTGAATCCTTTAAGAAAGAAAAACTGGTTAATATAAATGGTGGTGGCTTCTTGCATGATTTGCAAATCCCTGGGGGAAGAAAATTTATTTTTAAAATCAAAGGCATTGTAGAAGTATTCAGCACTCAGTTGCCAGAAAGCGTTATAAAAAACAAAAAAAAACCCAAACAATATACCACAATACTTCATTTAATAGTTATACTTTGCCAGATAAAAATTTAAAAGGCAAACATACTCCCAAACAGACAAACATGCAGAAAACATGATTAGATTAGAAATCAGCGAATTAACAAATTTATTATACCTGAGGTGCTGGAGGATGCTGTGGCATTCCCTGGGGACTTGTCTGGGCATAGTAGGCTGCTTGTTGTCTATAGTACTCAGCCCAGGCTGCACTATAATCTGGCTGACCACCTGGTGGAGCCCCAGTAGGAGCAGGAACTGCTTGACCTTTGAAAAAACAGAAGAATTTTGTTGCTGTAACTACAATTAAAAGTCCAAAAGAATCTCATTTCTAATAAAAATAATACCTTGCTTCTTGTAATATTCCTCCCAAGCCTTTGAATAATCTTGTGTCTGCCCTTGTTGACCTAAAAAAAACCCCCTAAATTTTAATACAAAATTACATCCACTGTAAGTACAGGTTATAAAGACAAAAGTACAGAGGATCAGAACTGCTCCTGTTTTATTTTAAATATTCATTAGTAGTGTCAGAAAACCACTCTGGAATTAAAAAAAAAAACACCACATTATTTTCTTTCTGCCTTATAGTAATCATAAATCAACCAAAACCAAAATTCACATAGCTTTAACTAAGAAGGGTAAAGATTTAGGCATATTGATCAATTCCAGTGGTGTTGAACTGTTACATGTTCCAAACGAGTTTGGAATGTGCTTCAGTAAGTAGTCTGTTAAGTACACCTTTAGATGGTTCCCTGGTAGTGATGATGAAGAGGGTGAAGGAGAGGGGAAAACCACTATTTTTTTGTTTTCTGGTCCATTTGGATAGTTATATTATAGGTTACAATAAAATGCAAGTCCTCAATGGAGGATTATAAACAGACTATTTTTGGAAAAAAACAAAAACCCATTTAAAGGCCATGATTTTTCCTGATTAGCAACCTATAAACTATGTGTACAAAGAAAGACTAGTCCTCCAGATACATTTTAATAAGATGTTTAAAGTTTTAAGGATGTGTTCAACTTACAACATAATTTGATTGAAAGTAACCTGACAAAGGCTATAAAGAACAAGATCAGTGAAATACACAAAGCTTTCATGATCAGATCTTTTTTCTAGGCTGGGTGACTTTTCTGAATTAAAAGATTAAAGAGATACAACCAAATGCAATGCATGAATTTGAATGTGCTGTGAATTAAAACAAACACACAACTAAAAAGGACACTTTCCTGACAGCTATGGAAATTTAAATAAGGTCTGTATGTTGGTGATAATATTGAGTGTATTTAGAGCAAGCTGTCTGCAACTTACTTTGAAATGGTTCATAAACAATTAACATACATACATATAACGTACATACGGCAAACTTGGAAAACAGTGAAACTGGGTGTCTGCTGTAGCATTTTTCCCAATTTTCTCTAGGTATAAAAAATTTTTAAATAAA